GGCTCGTCGATGCCGTCTCAGACCCCCACTCGCCACGATACGGTAATGACTATGCACCTGAGCCCTGCCAGCCCCATCGGGCCCTGCAGGCCGGGTGCTCTGACCCTCTCTGTGCCTTGCAGGCCAGTACCTGTCCCTGGAGCGGGTGCGGGACCTCGTCCAGCCATCCCCAGCCACGCTCATGCAAGTGCTGAAGTGGCTGCAAGGCCATGGGGTTGAGAACTGCAGGAGCGTTATCACCCTCGATTTTCTGGAGTGCTGCATGCCAGCGAGGTGAGCCCTGGGTGGGGCTGGGCCCCGCTGTGGTGGCCGTGCTATTCCCACGGAGACAGGAGGAGTCAGACCCTGCCCCTGCCTGCTGCGACTTCCCAGTCCCCGGGGCGCTGCAGGGCAGGCCGGCTGGTGGAGGCCGAGCCGCGTTTCTGCCTGGCCTGTGAGGGCTCCACAGCCAAGAGGTGGTTGCCTGTGTGCCCGGTCCTGGGGCTGGGGGGAGTCACAGCCGGTGATCTGGAGTACTGGGAATAAGGCGTGTGTATCCGTGGGGTGCTTGGGCCAGCCCCGCACCTCCTCTTGCCACTGTGGGGCTGCAGAGCCCCTGCTGGAGGACTGGGGATAGAGCTGCGGGGGACCCTGCAGCCTCAGAGCTCTGGTTCGGTTTGGTGATGGGAACTGGTCAGGTGTGGAAGGTGCTCTTTGCTGTGCGAGGTCAGCTGTGCTGATGGGAAGCAGAGCTCCCCACTGGCTCATCCCAGCGGCAAGCGGGATGGAAAGGGTGCGGGAGGCAGGGCAGAGAACGGGCGTGCTGCCGGACCCGCGCGCTGGCTGCTGTTCCGTGGCACGAGTCCTCGCGTGGTGGCTGTCCCTGTGTTGCAGCATTGCCGAGCGCCTCCTGCCAGGGACTGAGTTCCACCGGTATGTGAAGGGCCAGCACAGCGTTGTGCGCTCCCCGCTCCCCTACACTGTCCCCGAGGAGCTGGCTGAGCACGTTGACTTTGGTACGTCCTACGTGGGGGACCTCTCGCTGCCTGGGGTGCGGGCGGGAAGTTAAGCACAGAGCAGCCAGGATCGGCCGTCTCCGTGTCACAGAGAACGGTGTGGCAGGCTCTCCAGCCACGGTCCGGGCTGCCCCTAGGCCCCCCTGAGGGACGTTGTGCATAGGATGTAGAGGCCCCATCCCTGGAAACGTTCAAGGTCAGGCTGGACGGGGCTCTGAGCAACCTGATCTGGTTGAAAATGTCCCTGCTCGTTGCAGGGGGGGTTGGGCTAGATGACCTCTAAAGGTCCCTTCCAACCCAAACCATGTGGACAGGCAGCATCCAAAGTGTTTCTTACTGGTGCTGTCGGGCCTGGATGCTCGGTGCAGAGTTCAGGCACCGGCTGTCTCTGGGGGCGCGCAGCTGCTTCTGAGGTGGAAAAGCTCCCTCCTGTGAGTGCCTTTTGGGTGGGCTCCCACAGCTGCTCCCCGAGGAGAGCAGAGGGGTGCCAAGCTGCGGTAGTGGCCTGGCAGTGGGGAACCTGCACTGTGCAGCCTGGGAGCACCTGCGAGGACGGGCGAGGGAGCCAAGGGGATGCTTCCCCCCTCCTGTGCCACGTCTGGGGCAGGCGCTGTCCCCCTGAGCCCTGCTGCCAGCCACTCTTCTGGGGCGTGCAGCCTCAGCGAGGATGGTGAAGGGGGAACCATAACACCGCCCTCCCGGAGCTGGGGCCCTAACGGCTGTGGCTTTTCCTGCTCGCTTACACACCAGTGGGTGGTCTGCACCGCTTTCCCGCGGAGAGAAAGGTGGTCAGCAGAGCCTGGGCCAAGAAGGAACCGGAGTCGAGGCAGCACTATGGAGGGAGAGCGGCTTTCCACCTGGGTGTGACGCCCTCTGTCATTCGTAAGAGATACAACATGACGGGAGGAGACATCGGGCTGCTGCCGAACAACAGCCAGGCCTGCGCCCAGGTAACTGGTGGAGCCGGTCCAGGCCGGAGGCCCCTAGGCTGTGGGAAATCCACACGTTGCTGCTGCTCTAGTGGTCCCAGGCTGGCAGGAGCACCCGGTGGGCTGGCATTTCACAGGCCCGTGCTGGGCCAGGTTTGTAAGTCAGGAGAAAAAAACTTAGCTTGTTTTTTTCAAGAGAAAATGGGAAAAAACTTGTCCGTTCCTTGTCCCCCCAGTTCTTGGAGCAGTATTTCCACCAGGCTGACCTGGCTGAGTTCATGCAGCTCTTTGGCAGCAGCTTTGCCCACCGCTCTCAGGTTGACCAAGTGGTTGGGCACCAGGGCAAGGGCAAGGCTGGGCTGGAGGCCAGTCTGGACGTGGAATACATCATGAGCACAGGCGCCAACATCTCCACGTGGGTCTTCAGCAATGCAGGTACTGACACCCCTCCAGAACTTCCCTGTGGCTGCCTCCATGCGTCCCCGTCGCACCAATACGCCTGCCTGCTGCTGAGCGAGATGCACGCTCTGCATGAAAAATGGCTGCACTGAGTGTGCCTGGCATCTGTCAAAGGGGGGCACCTGCCAGGGGCATGCGGGAAGGGCACGCTGGCTGCGGTACATCCCCGGAATGCTTTACCAGCTACTATGAGCACCTATCTTGTGGGCTTCCAAAGCCAGAGCCAGTGCTGGTTTCTAACAGCTCCTGGGGAAACCGTCTTCCATCAGTCTGTGTAATTGCTTTTGAGCCCGTGTGACCTTTCCGCACCCAGAGTATCCTGGAACAGGGACTTCCATGCCTTAGCGACGCAGTGTGGAGCAGTCACTCCGCTCTGCTGCCTTTCTGCGACGGGAGAGCACAGCAACTGTGCCTTTCTGCCTCTTCCCTGCTGCTCGGGAGTCAAAGCTGATCTCTCACCCACCAGTAGAGTAAGGCAGTCTGGGGAAACAGGACTGCAAACGACCTGCACAAACGTGGCTACGCTGCTGTAAGACAAAGCGAGAGCTGTCCCAAATCAGAGACTGGCTGGACAGGGGACGGAGCGCCCTTAGCCCTGCCAGCTCTGTCCTCCCGATGGTGAGGGCAGGCACAGCTCCACGTTCACGGCCCCCTGCTCCATGCAGTTAGTGACCGAGGAAGGGTGCGGAGGCAGGCAATGGCGTGAGCAGCTGAGGGCGAGAAGGAGCGGCTGGGGCTCTGTTCTCACTACCTCACGGAGAGGGACGAGGGGCAGGAAGGGACCTTGGCAGAGGGAGACCGAACGTACATCAAACTGTTCTGGGACCCACTGTTACGGGGAGAGTGGCTTGGCTGCGCGGCTGCCTGGATGCCGGGGGTGGCTGCAGCCCCATGACATGCTCAGAGGAGGAGTGGGTGAGTGTAGACCCCCTGCTCTGGGGTTCAGGGCAACCCTCTCACCAGAGCCACTGGCAGAGCGGGAGCCTGGTGCCGTTCCCCGTGATGATCCCCAGGATGAGCTGTGCTGCCAGCAGGAGCTCACAGCAGAGCTCCAGACCAGGCGTGCCGTGGCTCCGCTCTGTAGGCAGGGCGGGAGCTGGGGGACCTTCAGCTCCTGGTGCTAGCGGTGCTGTTGAGGCTTGGCGCCCCCCCTGTGCTGTCCCCTGCTTCCCCTCAAGCCCGGTGTCCCAGGGGGAGCTGAACCTGCCCTGCTCTGTCTCTGCAGGGAGGCATGAGAGCCAGGAGCCCTTCCTGGCCTGGCTGCTGCTGCTCAGCAACATGTCATCGCTGCCTTGGGTGCACTCCGTCAGCTACGGGGATGATGAGGACAGCCTGTCGCTAGCCTACCTGGAGCGCGTGAACGTGGAGTTCATGAAGGCAGCTGCCCGGGGCTTGACCATCCTGTTTGCCTCAGGTGGGTGCTGTTGCTGGCACGGTGCTGGCACAGTGGGAAGCCTCCGTGGTGAACACCAAATGGGGATGCTCGGCCCCTGCCAGGGTGCTCTCCGCAGCCAGGATCCCAGCTGGGAATCCCAGCCTGGGAGATGGCGAGAGCCCTTCTCCCGGGTCGCTCTTGGGAGCATTGGGTGGACGAGGGGCAGCTCAGATGCTGCTGGATTGCCCCGTCCGTCTCTGTCGGCAGGTGATGATGGCGCTGGGTGCAGAAGGGTGCCCGGGGGGAACCACACTTTCCGGCCCAGCTTTCCAGCCTCAAGGTAGATGTGGGGAGGTGAACCCGGGCCCTGCAGAGATGGGCGGCTCTGCGCAGAGCTGGCTACTGCAGCTCTCCCACAGCTGGGGCCACCTGAAAGCTGCAGCTGGCGCTGCGGGCCCCAGCCTGTGGCCAGCCATTGCCTCGAGCTGGTTTTGAGCCCCTTGGGGGACTCCTGAGGGTCAGCTCCACCAGCCCCAGCAGCATGCCTGGGGGCGCTTGCAGACCTCGGTGGTGGGGGGGACCTGTGCAGCTCCGTGGGAGGTGGCTGCCATCCGGGGTGCCGCTGAGGCCCCAGACAGTTGCGTGCCCGCCGCAGTGTCTGCCTGTCCCCCCAGTCCATATGTCACCACTGTGGGTGGAACGACCTTCAAGAACCCCTTCCTGGTGACGGCAGAGGTGACGGACTACATTAGCGGGGGGGGCTTCAGCAATGTCTTCCCCATGCCTGATTACCAGGTGAGGAGGCGCCTGCTCTGCCCGCCCCGGGGGCTGGGGTGAGGGGGCTGCGTGGCACGTGGTGGGGGTGGTGATGGACGGTGGTCGGCAGGAGCGGCTGCGGGGCTGCGGGCCGGGGGAGGAAGGGCAGGGGTGAGTGCGGGCAGGGTCCCGCTGCCAGGCACCCCGCTCCTTCTGCCCCCCCGCAGGCTGGTGCAGGCGG